TCTGAGGAAGGAGAACAGGTTGTCAAAGCAGTTGACAGGGTGACCAGGAGGAGATTAATAGTTTTACAGTATGTAATTTATTAGTGCAGAGACTTGACCAGAAAGATTGCCATCAGGTATACAAGAAGGTCTTAAAGTGGGGGTAATAATCCTTGCCTGGAATATATGAGAAATGTGGTTGGTGTGATGTGAACATGGCGGCTTAGTGTGCTACAGTATCTGCCTGTTCATTGCTGGGGATTCCAACATGGCACCCAGCAAAATCTGATAGTTTTATGGCGTGTGAATAGGTAGAACAACCAGTTCTGGATCTTACAAACAAGGGGGTTTTCCAAGTGCTATAACTTTATGAGAGGTAATGAGTTACGGGAGTCAGTGAAAATAGTGAAAGAAGAAGGGAGTGAGTATATGTGTTTTAAGGGAAAAAGGAGTGTTTACAGTTCAGTAGTAAGGACACTGAATTGAGGAGGGAGGGCGTACTTGAAAATATGAGTTAGGAAGGTTACAGTGAAACCAGCACCAGAGGGATTTAAAGCCATCCACGTAAGCATGAATACTGGAGGAATGAATGGAGATATGGTCAAGGAAATGGGTGAGAAGGACAGCAGTGAAGTATAAGCCATGGAGGAACAGAATGGACAGAAAACAGAAGAGGTCAGAGATGGGGAAAATGGGAATGGGAGAGGAGGGTATCCATCAAAATGGAGAAAGGAGTAGGTAAAGGTTGAGAAGAAGCAAAGGTAGAAAGCAGGAATCATGAGATAGTTAGTTTGGTGAGGGAAAGTTGGTGGAATTGGTAGATATAGCATCCATAATTGAAAGTGGAGAAGATCAAGATATGAAGATGGAGGAGAGTTTTGTGAGCTGAGCCCCAGGGTATATGGGACAGAATTTGTAAGATTCGGAGGCAGCAGTGAGCTTTTTATTTAATGAAAAAGATATAGTCTTGCCAGGACAAGTTGGTGTCAAACATAATGCCAAGCAATTTGCCAAAGAAATGGTATTGGAATGGAATGCCACATAAGAATAATGTGTGCACAAAGGATGGAGAAAGACTTGGAGGTTGAAAAGCAGAAGCCATGGTTAGTGGCCCAGGAAGATTGCTAATATTGCAGACTGAAGGAACTGGCAGAGATTTGGTATGGATGTGCCAGAAGTGAAGATGGTTAAATCATCAACAGCATAGTCATGCTCAGGCTCCTAGTGGTAAAATTGAGAACACACTGGCTTGTTTAATGCCTTTGAACTGAGGAAATGACGATGATAGAAGAGGCAATTTTGACCTGGAAAGTGCATGTTTCTGCATGTGCCTAGGGAGGACAATTTTTTGAGAATATGGTAATGCCATGTAGTATCATATGCTTTTTCTAGGTCAAAGAATATGGCTAATATGGATTCATGGTGTGCAAATGCAGATGTAATATATGTCTTGAAATGAGCAAGGGGCTAAGCTATACTTTGGGCACAGCAGAAACCAAACTGGGAAGTAGAGAGAAGATTGTGAAATTCAAGATACCACATTCAGCAGAAGTTAACCATTCACTCTAGTACCTAGGGGAGTACCCGTTTTATTGGATTTCAAGAAGGGGTGGATGAGAGCTTCTTGCCAATGAGAAGGAAAATTTCCTGACATCCATTTATGGTTGAAAATAGTTAATAGGAAGGATAGAGAGGAAGATGGAAGGTGTCGGAGCGTATGGTAGTGAATACTGTCAGGGCCTTTATGAGTGTTGTGGTGCTTCAGAGGAAGAAAAAGGAGCATTATGGGACTCAGCAAAGGATAGGGTGAAGACGATGGGGGTGTGTTCCCTGATGGTCATAATAGAAGAGAAGTGGGGAGAAAAGTGAGAACTACTACTGACCTGGCTGAGATTGTCACCTAGTTCATTAGCAACTTGGAGAGGATCAGATAAAAGAATATCTCAAATATGGAGTACGGGAGGGGATGGGGGGGATGTTTGCCTGATAATTTATGGATCTGGCAACAAACAGTTGAGATGAAGATGTAATTGAGGAAACATAATTTTGCCTGCTATTTAATTTCCAGACTGTACAATGAAGACAGGCAGATGCTCTTTTAATCCAATGCCTGCTTGTGCTTAGCCAAAGAGGAGTCAATTGGTAGACCTTGTGACCTCACCTGATTTTAATTGGCGGGAAAAAAAATATTTTTTACTAGTGCTATGAATATCGATGGTGTTATTTATATTATAAACATTATAATTACTATAATGTTATAAACATTTGTAACAGCAAAATAAGATAACATCAAATATTTTCATAAATCAAAGAAAAGGGTAAACGGGCAAGACAGGCAGTACTCGTAATTGGCTCATTGGTGACTTAGTAGAAGTGTAGCGATCAACGTGTAAAAACAATTAAACAAGTAACTCACAGTGGGCATGACACGTACGTACACATCATGCCCGTCGGCATTGGGGAAAAGGAGATAAGGGCTGATAGTTGATTAGGGGTGCCTCGTTTGTAGTGGTAACTGTTCCAGGCTGCACGTTTTAAGCAAAGCGCTTTGGTGCAATCAGAATTTAACATGAAATACATTTGAAGGTATGGGGTCTTGAGGTTTCAGCTATATACATATATATATATATATATATACATATATATATACAAAATATATATATATATATATATACATATATATATATATATATACAAAATATACATATATATATACATATATATACATATATATATACATATATATAC